AATTTTTTTAAAAAACACATACAAAGGTAGTTTATAGAATTAGCGTGCCCTCCCTCCCCCTTTCCCCCTTTAAAAAATGGTCCGAACTTTCCCCTTATCTCTAAACCTAAAACCAGGTATCTGCTAAAGAATATGCTCTTCTCTCACAGAAATGCAAAATGCAATATGATTCACTTCTGTGGAAGCATATAACCATTAAACCTACAGTATGTATATTTGAAAGGCCAACTCCAGGAAAACTAAAACTCTTCTTTTGCAGAGGGGCTGCGCCTGCACTGCCTGGGTTAAATGTTTGTTTCTCTATGTGAGAAGATAAAGGCATTTTACTTACCTGATCCCCCCAGCAGACAGCTCTCCCCCTTTTCATCATGCTCCAGCAATGGACTGTTCCTCAGCGTCTTCATGTCCAATGTAGGGATAGGGTCCCTACCTTGGTCTTAATGTCATCAGATGACCTTAGATTGCCAGATCATAAGGAAGAAGAGCATGCAAGGACTGGTCTAGTTTCATAGAGAATCGGGTAAGAAAAAAGTGATTTTTCAAATCCCCTAGACGAGAATGAGCATTTAACCATTGCAGTGCAAATTTTCCTGGAGTTGGGCTTTAATGCCACCATAAAAATCTATAGTACAAAAATGATTGTTGATCCAAATCCAGAATTCCACATGATATGGTATGTAAACACAGTTCTGAAAACACTCTTTACCCTGCGGTGAATTCAATGCAGTGTTGTCACCCTGTGCAGTGGTATTCTGTTGTGAAGGTCAACAGGTTGATCCATATTCTTCCTGGCAGTCATAGCAAGACATGTATCTGTTGTAGCAGTGATCCTATAGGGCTCCCTCCAGAATCACATCATCCTCTTGAATCCTCCTTCCCAGGTCCAATAGACCGAAGACTTCAATAGATTACAGCACAACGAAAAGCATAAATAAATAAGGCAACTACAGGGTGAGGGGGTGGAGAGAGAAAAAATTCTCATGGAGAGACTTCAAAATTGCTTTGAATTTTACACTTCTGACACTGGTGACATCAAACCTCCTTCACTCTACTTAAAACCAAAAACAAGAAAGAAAAGTTCAGCTTTAATGTTATTATGCCCACAGTCAGTAAGGTCAAGAATCGGACAGTCGTGTCCGGAAATCCAAGACCGTTGAGATTTCATGCCGAGAATGTGACTCTTTGTGAAGGCATGCTTGTCGTGTAGCCAGCACGAGGTCATTCCATTGAGAAAGGTCAGCCAGTGAGAGACAAAGGCAGAGGGCAGCGGATGGGGAGGGTGAACAGGCCACAATGGACAGTGAAGGCAGGAGATGATTGTCTATGAAGGACACCGGCATCTATTGTTAGACTTTGGTGCACAATGAGGAGAAAAGTCTAAAACTAACTCGGAAATAGATGTAGAGTGTTACAGATCTACACACTGAACAACCCAACTAAATTTACCTATAGAATATATGTAGTTATGTTCTCCTTTTTCCTATTATACAAGTAAATCCATAAATCAGTATTTTAAACTCCTTATGAAAACATTGACTAAGGTTTTTTAAAGGGACTATGTCACTTTTCCCATTATAGGTGAAGTGGCAAAATCTCTCACTCCCAATTCACTTCTAGTCACATTCCCCCTTGCTGCCATTGACACTGTGATGTTCAGCCCAATGCCTAGGAACTATAGTTGTCAAGAGTTCCTTCCACCTTTAGCAGCCCCCTTACAGCAAGCAGGCCTACCTGTACTTGGTTGCCCCCAGGTCTTACTACACAATGCTATAGTTCCTGACCAGACGGCACCGAGACTGAGCAAAAATTACAGTAAAGGGTACCTGTAGTCTAGGCTGGTCAGGTGAGGGATATGGTCACTGCAGATGAGAATACGCACCTCGGTCTAGAAACTGCTGGTGGTTCGGGAAGGCAGTAGCCAGTAGCATAAGCCAATGAACAAATCGAAATAAGAGCTGGCAAAATTTTGAAGGAAGAATCCAAGTTCGAGGCAGAGGTCAGCAAAAAGTGGATCCAAGACAGGTTAACAGGCAAGGACAAACAAAACATGACTGGTAGGAGGCCATGAAGAAAAACACTATCACAAGTCCTGAGATCTAGGTCTATGATGCTCAAATAGAGTGCCACAATGCCATAGCCATTTAAGATGGGGAGGCAGTTTGGCCCAAGCCAACCACTGCCTAGCAGCTGGAATGCTTCCAGCCAAGAAGAGCAGGAGGCACATTAAGCCAGGAGGAGGGAGAGGCTGCTAACTACATAGGAGTGTGACCCACTATCCAAGCTGAGACCATGGAAAGAATAGGATAGTGAACATGTCTAGCTCAACTAACTTATCAACTAACTTGTTGCTCCTTCTGAGACATTTCAACCTACCTGTTGCTTGTAAGTATGGAGGCACATGTGACATCCTCCCAGAATTAAGTTCTCAGGCCTGAGTGGCCAATTACCAAGCTCAATCAGTATCATGTGATGCAGGTGTTAACATTATCAACCCTGTTTTACCACATGACACCATCCAACACAAAGCTTACAAAGGGTTCAACTCATGGAGGATTAATAGATCAGGGGAGTGCTTAAAAGGTGAATATAAGTGGGTCAGAGGGTGGACAAGTAAAAGACTTTGTTCTGAATGGGTAAAATTAAAGTCTCTTTAAAGGCAACCTGTCACTAAAAATGAACACGTAGGATATTTTAGCTGGGTCAATTAGTGCTCATATTAAAATCTTCACTATTGAGTTGGCCCACCCTTTGCAGCTATGACAGCTTCAACTCTTCTGGAAAGGCTGTCCACAAGGTTTAGGAGTGTGTCTATGGGATTGTTTGACCATCCTTCCAGAAGCACATTTGTGAGGTCAGGCACTGAGGAGAAGGCCTGGCTTGCAGTCTCCACTCTAATTCATCCCAAACATGTTCTATCAGGTTGAGATCAGGACTCTGTTTAGGCCAGTCAAGTTCCTCCACCCCAAACTCACTCATCCATCTCTTTATGGACCTTGCTTTGTGCACTGGTGCACAGCCATGTTGGAACAGGAAGGGGCCATCCTCAAATTGCTCCCACAAAGTTGGGAGCATGCAATTGTCCAAAATATCTTGGTATGATGATGCCTTAAGAGTCCCCTTCACTGGAGCTAAGGGGCCAAGCCCAACTGCTGAAAAACAAGCCCACACCATAATCCCCCATCCTTTACCCCACTGCGTGCTTTACCCCACTGCATCCAACACTTTGAATTACACTTGGTGATGTAAGGCTTGGATGCAGCTGCTTGGCCATGGAAACCCATTCAATGAAGCTCTCTACACACTTTTGTGCTAATCACTTCACTTCATGGCTGAGTTGCTGTTGTTCCCAGTTGCTTCCACTTTGTTATAACCACTAACAGTTGACCATGGAATATTTAGTAGCAAGGAAATTTCACAAATGGACTTATTGCACAGGTAGTAATCTATTACGGTACCACGCTTGGATTTACTAAGCTCCTTAGAGCGACCCATTTTTTCAAAAATGTTTGTAGAAGCAGTCTGCATGCATAGGGGCACACCTGTGGCCACGGAGGTGATTGGAACACCTGAATCCAATGAAGGGGTGTCCCAATTCTTTTGGCAATATAGTGTAAGAAAGAAGTGGAAGCAACCTTTCCAATACAGAACAAAAATGTAAGAAACAAATAATTTCTTATAGTGAGGTGGGGAAATATTAGAACATCTATCAGTTATTTTTTATTTAATATTAAATAACCAGAGGCATAACTAGAAACAACAGGCACAATTTCAATGGTTCCCACATCAGTGGCTTTTGGCCTGTAATGCAGTAAGTGGCTCACAGGTTCATTTGCTCACAATCTGGTTAACCTAAATAGATGTTTTCAAATATAACCCTCTATAAGGGTGAGGAAAACATATGGACTCCATGCATCCTCGCAAGCATCCATGGTAGGAGCTGAAACCAGATCACCTTCATGCTGCGACGCAAGAGTGCTAACCTCTCCTTCACAATGCTGTATGATATGACACTTTCACATATCTGGCCCAATAGATATATAGCAGAAAAGTGGAGAACAAGAGGTTGAATTTGAGTGAAAATGAGCAAGATGACAGATGGAACTGGAAGTGTCTTAAGTCTCAGACAAGTGAGAATTATGTGGCTTGTTAAGACCCAGAGTAAAGGGTTAATATCTGACTCCCAAGGGCCGAGTGACAGAAATTACTGTGATTCATACACTATTCAGACTTGAAATGGAATATGAATCATTTTTTTTTTTTTTTTATTCTGAAACTCAAATAAAATGATGAAATTACATTATTATCTAAACATCCGCCAGAATCCAAGCATATGATATACTGCAGGGAATTTTTAAACCAGAACATTTAGATTTATTCACAGTTTGCCTTTTGTAGGTCTAGGCAGCCATGCAAGTATTGTTTAAACATTTAGCCCGAAGCTAATTAACCCTTCAGGATAATATTGGATCTGAACAATCCCCTGCCACTCAGGTAGAACATGCACACTATGTTCATAAAATTCTGACTGGTGGTGGTTAAACCAATAGTCCCATCACAATGTTAACCAATGAATGACCATGCTGCTTATATTTTTAGATTGTCTTGTACAGACACCATATATTCACTCACTAGCCACTTCATTAGGTAGACCTTGTTAGTACCCCTTTTGCCTTCAGAACTGCCTTAATTCTTCTTGGCGTAGATTTAACAAGGTGTTGGAAACATTCCTTGGAATTTTGGGTCATATTGACATGAGTTACTGTTGCCTTTCTATCATCATGAACCAGTCTGCCCATTCTCCTCTGACCTCTGACATCAACAAGGCATTTCTGTCCACACAACTGCCGCTCACTGGATATTTTCTCTTTTTCAGACCATTCTCTGTAAATCTTAGAGATGATTGTGTGTGAAAATCCCAGCAGATCAGCACACCTCCCGCCCGCCATATAGTAATATGACGGATGCAAGGTGGTTCTCTCATTCTGGGAGGACGTCATATAATGTCCTCCCATTCTAACCGCTCATGCGCGGCTCCCGGAGCGCTCAGCGTGGCGATCGGCGGTGCGCAGTGTCCCTCGGACACAGCGGATCACCAATCACGGAAAGAGCTGAAGATGTCAGCTCGGTCATGTGATCAGCTATGTCCAATCACAGCTGATCACATGTAAACAGGGAAATGCCGGTTATCAGCATTTCTCTCCCCACGAGCTGTCACGCTGACAGCTCGTGAGGAGAGGAGAGCTGGTAATCGGTATTCCTCGGAGGGGACATGTACACAGATCATCAGAGCACTGATGATCTGTGTAGCCCCAGCAGCGCCACCTGTCAGTGTCCCTCAGTGCCAGCTCTCAGTGCTCATCCATGCACCTGCCAGTGCCCATCAGTGCCATATCAGTGCCACATTTCAGTGCCCATCAGTGCCATATCAATGCCACATATCAGTGCCCATCTGAGCTGCCTTTCAGTGTCACCCATCAGTGCCAGTCAGTGCCACCTATCAATGCCAGTCAGTGCCACCTATCAGTGCTGCCAATCAGTGCCAGTATCAGTGCCAGTCACTGTCGCCTACAGTGCCAGTCAGTGCCGCCTATCAGTGCCCATCAGTGCTGCATATCAGTGCCGCCTAATAGTGCCAGTCAGTGCCACCTAACAGTGCCAGTCAATGTCTGCCTATCAGTGCCAGCCAGTGCCGCCTATCAGTGCCATGTATGAGTGCTGCCTTTCAGTGCCCATCAGTGATGCCTGTCAATGCCCATCAGTGCCACCTACCAGTGCCTCCTCATCAGGTCCCATCAATGCCACCTATCAGTGTCCATCAGTGCAGCTTATCAGCCCATCACTGCAGCCTCATTAGCGCACATCAGTGAAGGAGGAAAATCACTTATTTACAAAATTTTATAACAAAAACTAAGCAAAAACCTTTTTTTCAAAATTTTCTGTGGTTTTTGGTTTGTTTAAGAAAAAATTAAAAACCCAGAGGTGATTAAATATCGCCAAAATAAAGCTCTATCTGTCACAAAAAAATGATACAAAATTTCATATGGGTACAGTGTTGCATGACCGCACAATTGTCATTCAAAGTGCAACAGCACTGAAAGCTGGAAATTGGCCTGGGCAGGGAGAGGGTAGAAGTGCCCTGTAGGCTAGTGGTTAAATACCAAGACCAGCCCGTCAAGCACCAACAACCATGCCACATTCAAAGTCACTTAAATCCCCTTCTTCCCCATTCTGATGCTCGGTTTGAACTTCAACAAGTCGTCTTTACCACATTTAGATGCCTAAATACATTGAGTTGCTGTCATGTGATTAGCTGATCTCCCATTGTCCTTGCCTCCCTCCCTCCCAAGATGGTTACCCTTATGGTCTTGGAGTTGATTGATGGGTACTTTGTCTATGGATGGAAACTATGGTAGTCCAGTTTGGGGGCAAAGGTATAACTGGTATACTTACTAGCGTATTGTATGTGTTCTTATGGATCACTATGTGATTGTGACCTGTACAATCTGTTGTAAAATTTTTATTGTCTGACCAACTTGCTTGCCACTAATGTTTAATGTTACCGCGCTCATTCTTTTTCAGTATACGCAATAAAACTTACCTGTTGAAAAAAAAAAAGGTACAATTCCTATGGTGTCATGCCTGAAATATCTACAGCCGCTGTGTTAGCTACTCATTATTACTGGGCTCTGTTGTAAGAGGCTGCAGTTGGGATTTCTAGTACATATTACATAGGACAGTGTGCCAAATAACCTATCAGTCTTTGGAGTGTGGGAGGAAACCTACAAAAATCACAAAGAGAACATGCAAACTCCAGTGTTCTCACTGAGATTCGAATTGAGGACCCCAGTTTTTATTATAAAATGCTTTAATCATTTTTTCCTTGTGTTGCATTGTAACAGCTGTAGTCGGTTTGAGTCAGCTGTCACTGTACCTGTGCAAGGCACACTGACATCTGAAGCCATCATGTTTCTTTTTAAACAAACCTCATTATCAGCATGATTTGCTGTCATTGCAATTGCATAACTGAAAGCCACAATGACTAATTACCTATTGTTAGTGACAGAGCAGTCTTAAAACTAAGAATCAACACAGCTGCATTCTCCTATCTCTAAACCAGGGTTCTTCAAACTTTATAAGCAAAGGGCCACTCTCAGACTTCTGTGGGGCCCACATTGGCCAATGGGAGTAAACAGCGTTTTGTGGTTAGTGTAAATTAAAACATTGCATGGCACCTTTGGTTAGTAGGAAAAGGAATAGTGTGTCCCATTATTGGTGTCAGTGGGAAGAATTATGCCCCATCAATGGTGTTAGTGGAATGAAGAGTGCCCCATCATTGGTGTCAGTGTAAGGAATAGTGTCCCATAATTGGTGTCAGTAGAAGCAATAGTGCCCCATCTTTGGTGTTTGTGGAAGGAATAGTGCTCCATCATTGGTGTCAGTGGAAGGAATAGTGCCCCATCGTTGCTGTCAGTGGGAGGAATAGTGCTCCATCATTGGAGTCAGTGGAAAGAATAATGCTCCATCATTGGTGTCAGTGGAAGGAATAGTGCCCCGTCATTGGTGTCAGTGGAAGGAATAGTGCTCCATCATTGGTGTCAGTGGGAGGAATAGTGCTCCATCTTTGGTGTCAGTGGAAGGAATAGTGCTCCATCATTGGTGTCAGTGGAAGGAATAGTGCCCCATTGTTGCTGTCAGTGGGAGGAATAGTGCTCCATCATTGGTGTCAGTGGAAGGAATAGTGCTCCATCATTAGTGTCAGTGGAAAGAATGATGTCTCCTTGTTGGTGTCAGTAGACGTAATAGTGCCTCATATCAGTGGGAGGAATAGTGCCCAAAAGGCCAGTAATGGTAAGCAAATGGCCGAATCCGGCCAGCAAGCCACAATTTGGAGGTCATTGTTCTAAACTATAAGCTGTCAATTGACATCTCTCTATACAAGGCACAGAAATATCTGAAGGCAGCAAATTTGGTTTTAAACAGACCACATGGTCACAATGATTGGCTGTCATTGTGATCACTATTTTGAGAGCCACAGTGTTTGGTTGTTTATTGTTAATAAAAGAGCAGTCCTAAAACTGAAAGTGTTCACAGCTCCTCTCTTCTAGTTCTTAACTAGAACTTAGATTAAAATTCTTTCAGCACAGGGAACCATGCTGAAGAACATTAGATTGTGGGCATCTTGGTATTAAAGTAAACTCATCATGAAAACAATAAATAAAACTAGAAAAGCTACAATTTCTGGGGAACTTGTGTGAAGTGTTCTTGCCTCCACCAGTAGTCTACAACTGAAATGGGTGGAGTAACTGGGTGGAGTGGCTTGAGTAACTGTTGTGTGGTTGGAGTGGCTAGAGTAACTGTGAAAAGGTCAATGGGCGGTGTGAGTTGCAAACAAATGGTCATATTTTGAAAACTATTAGGACTATGGCTTAGCCGTGGACATTTTTAGTGGCAGCAGGGATAGCTGAACGTTTTGATATAGGATTTGTGTAGGTGAGCTTGACAATGAGGGAGTGATGGCAGTTTAGAAATCATGTCCTGATTTTTCAGCTCACACTCTAGCTTTTGTCAGCTCCCACTCTAGTTTTGAACATTCCACCATTCATTCCTATGGGACCAATTTCACCACAAAAATATTTTGTGAACCATTTGGCGAAACGTTCCACAAAGTAATAGCACACCAATCGGGAACAATCCGCACGTTTCGGTATATTACTATCTATGTAGTGTAAAAACTGTGGGAGGAGTTAGGGTGGTAAATTTGGCTGTAATAATAATAATATATATGTGAGATAACAGTAAGTGGTCTGCCATGCAAGAACACTTCATAATGGTTTGGGGTCATTTGGGTTACTATTTCATATACAAATAATTTTCCTTCTGCCATGCAAGAACACTTAAATATCCCCATTTCTAACCTTCTGAAAATGCTAGTTGACTGATTATTGTACTTACCCTCTAGCTTCAATATCTGATGCAAAGCAAATAGGTAGATCTGGACAGTTATAGCAAATTCAGCTAGTCTGTTCTACATAGATGTTTCAAGTTAGTGGCTCAAAGTGCTGAAGATGGGTCAGCATGACAATCGGGCATCTAGCATTTTCATCACTGGCAACTTTCGTGCCTCTCTAAATTCAGGTTTCATTTAACGGCATGCCGTCCAGCCACTGTACATGTACGGCGGCAGGGCGGCACTCACAGGCAAAACCATGTTTTAAGACGTGTGTTTTGTAAACAAATAGGGGGTGCGCGCGAGGCGCGCCACCGCCGCCCTATTTGTCTTGCGGTTCTCTGCCGCAGATGTCAGTCGCCGGGTCACAGCCGCTCCTTAGCGACTATGTCCCGGCGATCAGTGACAGAGAGCACAGCTGCAGTAGCTGTGCTGTCTGTCACTTCCCTGACAGCTCGAGGATGAGCTGATCAAGAAAGAACAGTTTCTCTTTCTCAATCAGTCTTGTCCCGCCCAGTACACACCCCGCCCCCTAGTAAAACACTCCCCTCACTCCTATAACCCTTCCCTGCAAAATAAAGTTAACCCCTTCCTCCCCATTGCCATTAGTACAGTGTCAGTTTTTTTTTTTTTTTGCACTGATCACTGTATTAGTGTTTTTGGGGATGTCAGTGACCCCAAGTCAGTACCCCCCAATGTCAGAATGTCCGCCGCAGTCCTGCAGTCCCGCCATAAGTCGCTGGTCGCTGCCATAAGTCACTGATTGCCGCCATAATTCGCTGATCGCCGCCATTATTAGTATAAAAAAAACCTAAAAATCCCAGTATCTTTCCCGCCATTTGTAAACGCTATAACTTTCATGTAAACCAATTAATTTACACGTATTGGGTTTTTTTTTAGCAAAGACATGTCGCAGAATACATTTTGGCAGAAATTTATGACTAAATTTGATTTTTGCATTTTTTTTTTTTACTGGACATGTTTTATAGCAAAAAGTCCAAAATATTGTTTTTTTTTCCTCAAAATTGTCAGCCTTTTTTTTTTTTATAGGGCAAAAAATAAAAACCGCACAGGCGATCAAATACCACCAAAAGAAAGCTCAATTTGTGAGGAAAAAAAGGATGTAATTTTCATTTATGTACCGTATTGCATGACCGCGCAATTGTCCGTTAAACTAGCGCAACGCTGTATAGCAGAAAAATGGCGTAAGTTGCAGTATTTATACCATAGTTTGTAGACGCTATAACTTCCACACAAAGCAATCAATATACACTTATTGTGATTTTTTTTTTACCAAAAACATGGAGCAGAATACATTTTGGCCTAAATTTATAACCAACTTTGAGTTTACTATATATATTTTTTTTTTTATAGCTGAAAGTAAAAAATATTGTTTTTCTTCAAACTTTTTGGCCTTTTTTTGTTTATAGCGTAAAAAATAAAAAGCGCACAGATGATCAAATACCACCAAAAGAAAGCTCTATTTGTGTGAAAAAAAGGACGTAAATTTTGTTTGGGTGCAGCATTGCATGACCGCGCAATTA